GTAGTAGTAGTAGTAGTAGTAGTAGTAGTAGTAGTAGTAGTAGTAGTAGTAGTAGTAGTAGTAGTAGTAGTAGTAGTAATAGTAGTAGTAGTAACAACTACATGTATATTGATAATAATTCATTACAGAGAATGATGCTCAACAAATTAATTCCAATGCTGGGAATGGAACCTCTGTCTTCTGCTTCCAACAATAACAACAAAATTCCTAGCCATAGTATCATAGTCGCTGGTGAACACTTTAAAATTTGTCTTTGTAGATGTTTTACGGCGCTCGCAACTGCATAAGGTCATATGAGGGCCAGAAGATGTGAGGTGTTACAAGAGAGTAATAAACATAAAAAAGAAGGAGGGGAGATAAGGACGATAGATCTTGGATAGAAAAGAAGAAGCAAACCACACAAAAGCACCGCCAACCACCCACATACTTTAAAAGGAAGGTAGACGCGGTACAGTTTTATGAAGAACAGTGTTGAGCGCCTGACGAGCTGCACGCTCTTTGCGTATCAGTGGTATGGTTAAATGGTATGGATTGAACGCTCCTATCAACACTATTAGGTTATTTAAGAGGCGGGACCTCCTAGTCGTCCGTCTCTGAAAGGACCGAGCCAATATGGGAAATTCCTGTTAAGTTTCTTTCCCAAGGTCACAACGTCGGACCGAGCTGAGGCTCGAACCCCCAAACCTGCAATCTCACGATTACGAGTCCGGTAGCCTAACCACTAGGCTACCGTCGCTACGTATCAGTGGTATGAAGTGATATTACGTTTTACGCGCCTATCAACACTATTAGTAGAAGGCCTTAATCTAAGAGGCTGGAACTCCGAGTTTAACGCCCATCTCCGAATGTATCGAGCCAAATCGGAAATACGTGTAACGAGCATTTCCCAAGGACACAACGTCGGACCGAGCTGAGGCTCCCCAAACCCTCAAACCTACCATCTCACGATTGCGAGTCCGGTAGCCTAACCACTAGACTACAGACACCACTGGGTATCAATGAAGAGAATAAAGTATCAACGCACTAAAAATGAACAGGTCAACGAAAATAGTTTCTGTGGTGCTATGCCGGCCTTTAGTGGTGGCCATTACTGTACAATGTACGCAAGACAGTAATCTGTATTTAAAGTGATCTACTGCATACTGTTTCTGCGCACCCCATAAATTTGACCCAACACGAAAAAAAATAAAAAATAGTATGCATATTACGTACTGCAAGTGAGCCATGATCCTAAAATACTATAGCCATTTTAAGTACGATGTATAAACTTCCGTAGACCTACTTGAAAAGTGGTTGGTAACTGAATTTTTTCTATCCCTAAACTGTAAATCAACACGTGTATGCCAATTGGGACAAAAACAATGAGAAATTGAACCAGATTTTATCACATGTGCGCGTATCAAGGGAAAAAAACGAGCCAGACAATAATTTGTCCTATATAAATTTTACCTGGCATGGCAGAACACGCCTGGATTTGTTTGTTAATTCTGATTTGTTTTGCTTTGCTTTACTCCCTTACAATAAACGTAACGTATATTATTTCTCAAAGAAATTGTTCAACGAACACGAACAAAGAGACCGCAATGCAAACCGCTCGATGAATAAACAAACAAAAAAACAAACGAAAAAACAAAACAAAACGAGGAACAGACTAAAAAAATAGAAGATAACAAAAAAACAACAACTAAAAACATTTTTGCTCAAGCTCAGCCAACCGGCAACGAAATATAATACATGTAATATAAAAGTTTGGATCAGTTTCAGAGAATCAACTGTAGGTTAGCAGTTGTAGATCTACGGCGGTAACGTTTCACGAATGGCTGCTTCTTGTCATTGAAGCGTAAACGGACTCGCGCTGAACCAGCTACAAAAGCGTCTGTGGTGTAGCGGTAAGAAGGCTCTTCATTGTCGCACGGAGTAGACCTGAGTTCGATTCCCGAGTGGGGAGGAAAATTGTATCGAGTATCTAGATCTTTTTGCTGGGATGTTGCATCCCTCTCTGCCTTGGTTGACCCTAACAGGTAGGTTCGGACGCTCGTCTCTTAAATGATCCGATTGTGTTGATGGGAGCGTTAAAGTACCTACATTCATTTTTAAAACCCTATCCGTACGCCCTGAGTCATTTTGTAACCCCCCCCCCCCCTCCCCGGGTTGTATTATTCACATTTTAGAATACTTCTAGTATGAAGATATCTTTGAAACTTTCAGTATTTCTCAAAGAATAATTTTGACAGATTGCTTTGCAAAGCGTACGGATCGGATTGAAGAGTATACTTTCTCTTCGGAAAGTGGTGTGGTGGCACAGAGTTCCCCGCGTTGTATGGATACGATAGTAAAAACACAACGTACGTTTATGGTTAACCTGCCACAGTTCACTCACTGGCTGTGTAATTGGAATTTAATTCACTAACGCCCTTGTCAAATCGATGTTTATTTGATTGTTTGTTTGAATAAGAAAAGAGATTCACATCGATACAGCCATTTAGCGCGGGGGAAAGTAAGACACACAGAGATAGAAACAACAGACGGAACCAAAAGTAGTAGGAGAGCTACAGGTAGCGCCCTCTAGCCACCCGGTGCTGTCAAACCGAAAAGGGTTACAAATGCCGTACCTTCAAGATTCCAGCCAAACGCGAACTCACCACAACGCTAGTCATTTTCACGGTATATTAATTAAGTAATTAAGTCTTTGCTCATCAGGACAGAGGGTTGAGCAGAAATATTCCAGGCAGGACTAGAATAATACTTTGGTCATATACTCGAAAACGAACACAGAGAGAGAGAGAGAGAGAGAGAGAGAGAGAGAGAGAGAGAGAGAGAGAGAGAGAGAGAGAGAGAGAGAGAGAGAGAGAGAGAGAGACAGACACACACACACACACAATATGCACACGCGCACACACACGGCATTAGATCTATATATACACACACGCGCACAAACATACACACACCACACACGCATACAAACACACAAAGAAGAAAGCGTACACTATCGTATGCAACGACCAGCATTAGGAAGTAAAAAAAACAACAACACGAAAGAAAGAAACGCGAATTTGTCAACTTACTGCTTCAGATCCACTCACAGATAAGTCAGAGTTGTTCCAAGCCGTTGTTTCCACTTCACTTTAAGGCCTAACACACCAGAGAACGGACTTGGTCTAGATATCTAGATCTATATTATTATTAGTCTTATTTTATCGTTAATCTTTTGAGAAAGCGATTCACTACACATGAAGGCAGGTCTACCGGTAGGTGAGCACTCCTGTGCGCGCAATAATGATTATGATGAAACTCACCACACAAGAAGGGACCGGTTCATGTGTTCATTCCTCTGTGAGGTGTGTACTGCGTGCAATAGATCTATAGTATGATGAAACTCGCAGCGCGCGTGGGTGAGACTGTGGCTGATACGTTTATTTCACCTTTTTCTCAAGCTTACAGTTATAGCGGTATCCTACCGGTAGACGAAAGCTAGATAGATAGAAAGAAGGAGGTGTGTGTCGGTGTGTCGTGTGTGCGTGCGCGCGTACGCCTGCCTTTTCTCGCACGTGGCTTCGAGAGAGCGGTTAGTTCGTTCGTTGGTTGGCCCTGAAAATTTCGAGTTGTAGTTCCGGGTCATACGGCTACCTCCCCTTGCTTGCCTTGCACGCACCAGGATGCGAGCGAACAGGTTTTGACATTGACCCTGAAAAGGAAAACTTCCGAGTTGCGCGCTGCTGCTGAGAGAGAGAGAGAGAGAGAGAGAGAGAGAGAGAGAGAGAGAGAGAGGGGGGGGAGGGGGGAGATGGGGAGAGAGAGGGAGAGAGAGAGGTGGAGAGAGAGAGAGAGAGAGAGAGAGAGAGAAGGGGGCGAAGTGTGTGTGTGTGTGTGGCGGGCCGGTGAAAGCGAGAGAACGAAGCGAAACACAACGACAAAGGGGGGGGTATTTAACTATAGCTGGACGCCTGTCCCGATGACTAGCCAAGCTACGGAAGTGTGGTACAACTAACTGAAGGTCAGAAAGCGAATCTATGTGGGGAGTTGGCAACGGTGGTTGTGTAGGTGATGCAGATAGAGTGCCAGCCCACTCGTGCTGGGTGACGCTGACCGCAGGAGGAACTGTAGCTGGATGAGCGAGCTCAACGAAGACGATTGATGACTTGTCGCCATGTGTTAGTTCCTGCTGTCCGGGCGGCTACCTGAACTGCAAAGTAAAACCTCTGACCGCGCCTGGACCCGACATTTAAGACCTCGTGCAAGTCTCATGCATGTAAACGCGAAAAATGACAAGTGGACGAAAGGCCGTTTGAACCGTTCAG